TGATGATGATGATGATGATGATGATGATGATGATGATGATGAGGATGAGCCCGCCCCATCCCCGAGCGCGGCCAGACAACACTGTTCCATGTTCTGTACATCCAGATCATGTCTCTCGGACGGCGCAGCGGTTGACTTCACAAACAGCGGAACCGATCGCCCCCCTTTGACTGGCACTTGGCGAGGCCAAGCCAAACGGGGAGGGAGCTGGGGGAGCTCGAGCGAATTTGGACGCTAAACAGGGCCGCGGAAGGGCAGGCGGGCAACAACGTTTCAAAAACAAACTCAGCCCGCCCCCTCCCCGAGCGCGGCAAACAACACGATTCTCTGTTTTTTACATCCAAATCCGCCGACCCCTTGGGGATCATCGGCGTGTGAGATGCTTCCCCCTCCCCAAACCCCTCCCCCGGGAGCCTGGTCCGGTCGATTTGGAGGGGGGGGGGGGGTCCGGGACGAGCGATCCACGGGGCTTTTCCTGGCCCAAGAGGGCCTCCAGACGGGCCACGAAGCCCCCAAGAGGCTTCCAAGACGGCCCACGAAGGCTCCGAGACGCCAAACGACCGCTCCAAGACGCCCACGATGGCCCCAAGACGGGCCAAGAGGTCTCCAAGACGGCTTGAGGTCCCAAATGAGCTTCCCAAGAGGGCCCAAAGAGTCTAAAATTGCTAATTTTCCAGAGTGTTTTTCGATGTTTTTTCCTGTTCCGCCTTTCCGGCGTCCCGACGCTCCAAGACGCGCGACGAGGCCCCAAAGATAGCCCCAAGATGGCCCAAGAGTCCCCCAAGATGGCCTCCAGACGGCCCAAGACGGCCCCAAGACGGCCCAAGAGGTCCCCAAGACGGCCCAAGAGGGCCGATTTGAAAGGGGGGGGGGTCCGGGACGAGCGATCCACGGGGCTTTTCCTGGCCCAAGAGGGCCTCAAGACGGGCCACGAAGCCCCCAAGAGGCTTCCAAGACGGCCCACGAAGGCTCCGAGACGCCAAACGACCGCTCCAAGACGCCCACGATGGCCCCAAGACGGTCCAAGAGGTCTCCAAGACGGCCTTGAGGTCCCAAATGAGCTTCCCAAGAAGGCCCAAAGAGTGTAAAATTGCTGATTTTCCAGAGTGTTTTTTGATGTTTTTTGCTTTTCCGCCTTTCTGGCTTCCCGACGCTCCAAGACGCGCGAAGAGGCCCCAAAGATAGCCCCAAGATGGCCCAAGACTCCCCCAAGACGGCCTCCAGACGGCCCAAGACGGCCCCAAGACGGCCCAAGAGGTCCCCAAGACGGCCCAAGAGGGCCGATTTGGAGGGGGGGGGGGTCCGGGACGAGCGATCCACGGAGCTTTTCCTGGCCCAAGAGGGCCTCAAGACGGGCCACGAAGCCCCCAAGAGGCTTCCAAGACGGCCCACGAAGGCTCCGAGACGCCAAACGACCGCTCCAAGACGCCCACGATGGCCCCAAGACGGGCCAAGAGGTCTCCAAGACGGCCTTGAGGTCCCAAATGAGCTTCCCAAGAAGGCCCAAAGAGTCTAAAATTGCTGATTTTCCATAGTGTTTTTCGATGTTTTTTCCTTTTCCGCCTTTCCGGCTTCCCGACGCTCCAAGACGCGCGAAGAGGCCCCAAAGATAGCCCCAAGATGGCCCAAGAGTCCCCCAAGACGGCCTCCAGACAGCCCAAGACGGCCCCAAGACGGCCCAAGAGGTCCCCAAGACGGCCCAAGAGAGCCGATTTGGAGGTGGGGAGGGGTCCGGGACGAGCGATCCACGGGGCTTTTCCTGGCCCAAGAGGGCCTCAAGACGGGCCACGAAGCCCCCAAGAGGCCTCCAAGACGGCCCACGAAGGCTCCGAGACGCCAAACGACCGCTCCAAGACGCCCACGATGGCCCCAAGACGGGCCAAGAGGTCTCCAAGACAGCCTTGAGGTCCCAAATGAGCTTCCCAAGAGGGCCCAAAGAGTCTACAATTGCTGATTTTCCAAAGTGTTTTTCTATGTTTTTTGCTTTTCCGCCTTTCCGGCTTCCCGACGCTCCAAAACAGGCAAAGAGGTCCCAAAGATAGCCCCAAGATGGCCCAAGACTCCCCCAAGACGGCCTCCAGACGGCCCAAGACGGCCCCAAGACGGCCCAAGAGGTCACCAAAACGGCCCAAGAGGGCCGATTTGGAGGGGGGGAGGGGGCCGGGACGAGCGATCCACGGGGCTTTTCTTGGCCCAAGAGGGCCTCAAGACGGGCCACGAAGCCCCCAAGAGGCTTCCAAGACGGCTCACGAAGGCTCCGAGACGCCAAACGACCGCTCCAAGACGCCCACGATGGCCCCAAGACGGGCCAAGAGGTCTCCAAGACGGCCTTGAGGTCCCAAATGAGCTTCCCAAGAAGGCCCAAAGAGTCTAAAATTGCTGATTTTCCAGAGTGTTTTTTGATGTTTTTTGCTTTTCCGCCTTTCCGGCTTCCCGACGCTCCAAGACGCGCGAAGAGGCCCCAAAGATAGCCCCAAGATGGCCCAAGACTCCCCCAAGACGGCCTCCAGACGGCCCAAGACGGCCCCAAGACGGCCCAAGAGGTCCCCAAGACGGCCCAAGAGGGCCGATTTGGAGGTGGGGAGGGGTCCGGGACGAGCGATCCACGGGCTTTTCCTGGCCCAAGAGGGCCTCAAGACGGGCCACGAAGCCCCCAAGAGGCCTCCAAGACGGCCCACGAAGGCTCCGAGACGCCAAACGACCGCTCCAAGACGCCCACGATGGCCCCAAGACGGTCCAAGAGGTCTCCAAGACGGCCTTGAGGTCCCAAATGAGCTTCCCAAGAAGGCCCAAAGAGTCTAAAATTGCTGATTTTCCAGAGTGTTTTTTGATGTTTTTTGCTTTTCCGCCTTTCCGGCTTCCCGACGCTCCAAGACGCGCGAAGAGGCCCCAAAGATAGCCCCAAGATGGCCCAAGACTCCCCCAAGACGGCCTCCAGACGGCCCAAGACGGCCCCAAGACGGCCCAAGAGGTCCCCAAGACGGCCCAAGAGGGCCGATTTGGAGGGGGGGGGGGTCTGGGACGAGCGATCCACGGAGCTTTTCCTGGCCCAAGAGGGCCTCAAGACGGGCCACGAAGCCCCCAAGAGGCTTCCAAGACGGCCCACGAAGGCTCCGAGACGCCAAACGACCGCTCCAAGACGCCCACGATGGCCCCAAGACGGGCCAAGAGGTCTCCAAGACGGCCTTGAGGTCCCAAATGAGCTTCCCAAGAAGGCCCAAAGAGTCTAAAATTGCTGATTTTCCAGAGTGTTTTTCGATGTTTTTTCCTTTTCCGCCTTTCCGGCTTCCCGACGCTCCAAGACGCGCGAAGAGGCCCCAAAGATAGCCCCAAGATGGCCCAAGAGTCCCCCAAGACGGCCTCCAGACAGCCCAAGACGGCCCCAAGACGGCCCAAGAGGTCCCCAAGACGGCCCAAGAGAGCCGATTTGGAGGTGGGGAGGGGTCCGGGACGAGCGATCCACGGGGCTTTTCCTGGCCCAAGAGGGCCTCAAGACGGGCCACGAAGCCCCCAAGAGGCCTCCAAGACGGCCCACGAAGGCTCCGAGACGCCAAACGACCGCTCCAAGACGCCCACGATGGCCCCAAGACGGGCCAAGAGGTCTCCAAGACGGCCCCCGAGGTCCCAAACAACCCTCCCAAGAGGGCCCCAAGAGTCTACAATTGTTGATTTTCCATGGTGTTTCTCGATGTTTTTTGCTTTTCCGCCTTTTCGGCTTCCCGACGCTCCAAGACGGCCAAAGAGGCCCCATAGACAGCCCCAAGATGGCCCAAGAGGCCCCCAAGACGGCCTCCAGACGGCCCACGACGGCCCCAACACGGCCCAAGAGGTCCCCAAGACGGCCCAAGAAGGCTCCAAGACGGCACCAATAGGGGCCCAAGAGGGCGACCAAACATGTTGAAACTCTAGTGTTCTGCCCCCAGGAGCCCCAGGGGGCCACAAGAGTGCCCCAAGAGGCCCCCAGAGGCCCTCACGAGGCCGCCCAGACGGCCCAAGGAACCACCAAGAAGCACCCCAAAGGCTCCGAAACGGCCCCCGAGTGGCTCCAAAACTCGCGGTGTCGCCGTCCGCTCGGACCTCCCCGCGGAACTGCCCGAGACCCTCTGGCGGTGGCGGCGAACAGACACCAAACAAATATCACTCGCCTTTTCACCCCTTCGCAGCTTCTACTACCCCCAGATTGGCATAAACAAGGGGTCGGCGGTGTGGCGTAAGCCTAAGAATCATATCTCTCGGACGGTGCAGCGGTTGACTTCGCAAACAGCGGCGCCGATCCTCCCCCAAACCGCCCGAATTGGCCCCTGGCCCATGCCAGCACACCAAACGAGACAAATAGTCGATTTGATTCTTGTCGGCAGCACCTTTCAAATGAACACTGAGGCGGGAGGCCAGCGACCGTCCCAAGACCTGCTCGGCGCGGCGGCGCGGCGGTGGCGGCAACACGAATCCCCACCAACAACAGGCCCACCCGAGACCGTTAAAATTGCGAGCGTCCCGTGGCGACCCGAAGCCGAAAAAGCACAGGGGGCCACCTCGGAGGTCCAAGCGCCACGGGCGCGGCTCCAAAAATCGAGATATTCTAGAACAGACGCGAATTGCTCTTTACAAAGACTGATTACGACCGCCGGGCACCCAGCGGAGAAAGCTGCATTAGCAATATTGAAAAGGTTGTAAACGCAGTGGCACACTGAAGCGAAGCCGATGCCAGCCGCCCCCCGCGTGATCCGAGCTCAGATAGGGAAGCGCCACAACAATGCCGCACACGGCACAAGAACCGATCCACCCTATGAGCATCCGACGGGCCACGGCAAGATCACACATGGAGGCACTGACCCAAATCGAACTGTGATCAGCGGGCTCACTCAATCATCGGCTCACTTCACCCTTCGAGAACCCAACTTCGAGGAAGACTTGACTCTTTTGCTCGCGCCCGAAGCGGGGCCCCCAGCGCAACTGTCGCGCAAGGTTGCCAGCACACCCCGAGGAAGAAAGGCGGGGGCCTCCAGGACGTCGGCGCCCAGGAGCAGGCACCCCAGCAATACGTGGATCAGCTCGCTCCAGTCCACGACGACCTGCGGCGCCTGCTTTAGCATCGCAAGGTAGCGGACGTGCTCGGCGTAGCGCAAGCTGCTGCGGGCGCTGGCGCGCTGCAGCCGCTCGGTCACGGCGCTGAGCGGGAGCAGATCCACTGCTGCAGCGTGGCTCGCGGCCCCGCGGCGCACCTGGTAGGCCGCCGCGGCGGGCGCCTCAGGCAGCGCTGCCAGCCGCGCCTCAAACCGCTCGGTGAACCAAAGGCCGTCGAACGACCAGAGCCGGCAGCCTGGGCCCCGAGCCCTCGCAGGCGCCGACGAGCCGCGCCGCCGCCGCCGCCCCAGCAGGCCCCCCGCAGGATCACCCCCTCGTCGGCGCCCTGGACCTTGCTCCTCGCCCCCTCATCGCTCGGGTTCAGGGGCAGCGCCCGCGCGGGCGCCGCGCCCCTGCTAGGCCCGATCAAGGTCTTGGGCGCCATGCTCACCAGGTCGGGCGGCAGGCGCAGCAGGCCGCCCCAGGCCAGCCAGAGCGCCGCCGCGAACCCCAGGTCCTCCAGCAGCAGGCTGACACCGACGACCGCGAGCACCCACGGGCGGCACCAGGTCTCCCGAGCCCCTACTCGCGCTCGGCGGCGGAACCCCGCGACTGCCGCCCGCGCCACAGCGGGCAGTGCCCAGGCTGGGTCGCAGGTATTGCAGGGCCGCCAGCAGCCTCGAGCCTTCGCCGACCTCCATCCCGTCGAAGAACAGAGTGTCCATGTGCTTGGCGGCCAGCTGGTCCAGGCGCCGAGTGGAGATCCCCCCCAGGCTGCCCTCGTTGGCCCACTCCAAGAAGTTCCGCACCCGCCCTCGGAAAAGCGGCACGCGCGGGTGGTTTGACCTTGTTGGTTTGCAAGAAGGTCAGCCCAGGCTCGACGTTCACCCGCGCGCCTCCGTGACGAGCTGACCTCGCATACGCCGTCGTCTTCTCAGGATCTCGGCCCGAGTCAGAGACCGACCCGATCGAGCCCACGTCGCTACTGGAGGAGCTGCCAGAGCTGGGGCTGGAGCGGACCCTGCGGCCGCTGCTGCGCTCCAACGGGCCCCCCTGGTCGCCATGCGGCCGGGGGGCGCCCTGGCTGCTGCGGTCGCGCCCAGGCTGCCCGCGCTGCTCAACCTCGCCGAGGGACCGCGCGCCGCCAGCGCCCCGCCAGGTGGACGCCTCGCAGCAAGCGCGGGCGAGGGCCGATGCAGCGAGGCCCCGCGCCCCGTTGGCTCCGAGCTGGCCAGCATGGCGGCAATCACCTCCGTGGGAGCTGGGCGGCCCCCCGATGGCGCGGCCCCCTTTGTCGGCCGAGTCGAGCTCGCTCGAGAACCGGCGCGCGGCTACGGACGACCCCGTCAGAATACGCAAGGCTGCCGACTCTCTGCAAATCTGATTCAGAACGTAGTGTGAGGATCTTCCCTTTTCCAATGCCAGGGTCAAGCTGAGGTTGCCGCATAGACTGAGAATAACATGCCCAGAAGCTCCTGCGCGTCGCAGCCGATGCCTCACACCTGTGATCAGTGCGCGGCCCTCCAAGCGCATGATGTCCTCGGGCCTCTGCCAGCGCCCGAACACCTTCAGCTTCCAGGAGTCCAGCGGCAACAAGAAGTTCGGATCGATATCCTCGAAGGTCGTCTGCTCCACTTCGGACGGGCTGACGCTCGGGTCTAACAGCTTCTCGCACGTGTCACGGTGGCCGCCAAGGATCCGACTGGACTGGCTCGCTTCATCTTCACCCTCGGGGCGTGCCACGCCCTCCATATTCATGATCTTTCTGAAGTCCGCATGGTTCTGTGCAGCGGCGAGTGCGTGCCGACGTGCTTCGATGGCAGCTTCAGGCCTGTAGCGCCAGCGCTCCATACAAGAAGCAGCGGCCCAGACGTCGCACGGGTTCCAGGCCTTCTCCGTCATAGCAAAGCCGCCGAAGCCCGAGCCCTCCACGTCTCCTGAACCAGTAGACGCACCCGTGGCTAGGACCACGGGGTCCATTTCCAGCTTGGTGCCCATGTAGGCGAAGGCGATGAGGGCTGCAGCAACGCGGCACTCGGTGAACACCTCAGGCCACCGTCGCGAGCCCGCAGCGCGGGCGAAGCGGTAGGCGCCGTGGAATACACCCAGCAAGCATCGCCGCAGGATCGCCGCCCAGGTGTAGTGGCCGAGGAGGGGCAGCATGTCATCCCCGCTGGAGCAGCCGCGCTCCGCGATCTCCAGCAGCGCCAGGTGCAGCTTCCATATGCGGCTCTGGCTCACCGAGATGCGGCCCGTCTCGAAGTCGATCCGAGCGCACGCCTTTGCATTTCAGGCTGTTAGCCTTCATGTGCTGGTGGACCTGCTCAATCGTCGTGCTCACGGACGTGGGGCTGCACCCGATGGCGGCCACCCCTTCGGCATGCACAGCGACCCCAGCCTCCTCGCTCACGTAGGGCGCGGCGCGCCTATCCTAGATGATACGGCTCTCGCCGACGCCTGCTGCGATGACATGCAAGACCACCAGCGCTTGGCAAAAGTGCAAGCTCCAGCTCCAACCAATGGGGGGAACCGTGAGCAGGGGCGAGACCTTGCCCCCCAGCCGCGCGCCGATGTCCACCTCGGGCAGCACCTCCCGCAAGGCGCCCACGGCCACCGCGGGCAGCGCGAACATCGCATCCAGCCCAGGCGGGGCCCCGACGCGGTAGAAGGCCGCCTCGATGCCCACCTGGCTCAGCGAGAGGTCGTGGCCAGCTGGGATCCTCCAACTACGCCCGGCTCCAGCCGACGGCAGCGCTGTCGCGTCGGGATCGATGAATTCCTGGCTGACGGCCCTCGCGCCCAGGATCACCCTCAACTGGTTCCCTGACCCCCCCACGAAGGACAGGCCCGCAGCAGAGGCGCGCGGGGAAGAAAAACGAATCAATCCTGCTCGGTAAGAGCGATGGGGGCTGAACCGAACGGCCATTCACTGTCCCTGGGTGCGTGGCTGGAGTGCAATTCCGCAACGCGGATTCTTGTTGTTGTTGTTGTTGGTGTCGTGTTGTTTGTTGTTTGTTGTTTGTTGTTTGTTGTTTGTTTGTCGTCGCCCCGCCCGCGACCCACCCCGCGACCGACCCGCGACCCGCCCCGTGACCCGCCCGCGACCCGCCCGCGACCCACCCCGCGACCCGCCCCGCGACCCACCCGCGACCCACCCGCGACCCACCCGCGACCCACCCGCGACCCACCCGCGACCCACCCCGCGACCCACCCAAAATTTTCGGCGCCTGCGGCGGGTTTCTTCTGCATTCGTTCCAGGTGGACAACCTGCGACCCACCCGCGACCCAAACCGCGCCCGCGACCCACCCGCGACCCGCCGCGACCCACCCGCGAACCACCCCGCGATCCACCCAAAATTTTCGGCGCCTGCGGCGGGCCCACCCGCGACCCAAACCGCGTTCAGTGCACGCGTCAAAATGTTCGGCGCCTGAGGCGGGCTGTTTTTGAATCCCTTCCAGGTGGGGGTGGAGAGCCCGCGACCCGCCCGCGACCCAAAACAACGTCCACTGAACAGGCCAAAACTTCGGCGCCTGCGGCGGGTTTCTTTTGCATTCGTTCCAGGTGGAGAGCCTGCGACCCAAACCGCGTTCAGTGCGAGTCAAAATGTTCGGCGCCTGCGGAGGGCTTCCTTTACATCCCTCCCAGGCGGGGGGGGGGGAGCGGGGGGGGAGGAAAGGAGGGGGACGAAGAGGGAGGAGGAGGAGGAGGAGGAGGGAGGAGGAGGAGGAGGAGGAGGAGGAGGAGGAGGAGGAGGGAGGGCGCCATCGACAGGGAAGGCGAGGGCCACGAGGTCCGCCGGCTCGACGCCCGCGTCGCCCGCCCCCCCCCCCCCTCTCTCTTATCCGCAATTGCGGGGTGCTGCGTGCATTTCGCTCAAGAAGCGGGCGTAGTGACGAGGCGACCGCCGCAGCTTCTCATCGAAGTACGGAACGGCTGGCTCACGGACCTGTTCAGGATCACGTAGCAGTCGCCGACGCCAGTCGCGCCACAACTCACGTGGGTGTCCGTCAAGCAGCTCGGAAGCGTCGCACTTCGCGGCGTCGCTGGGGAGGCTCGCGCGATCTTCGGTGTACGCGATGGACTTCGCGGGCTGACAGTCGTAGCCCAGCGTACTTCGGCACAGCTCCGTGAGGGCCGCCGCCGATGTGCAAGGAGTCCCGTCAAGACCCTTAACTCGGGCACTCATGTGCTCAATGCCTTGGACCTGGCCCAAGGAGAGGGCCTCGAAGTTGCTGGACACGCCCCTCCCGCATAGCCAATTGAGACCATGTATAGCTCCACGTGCCGAGCGTGACTAATAGACAGACTGACGTGCACGGCTTCTCCGACGCCGAGTCGAGGAGTGGAAGCCACTGCAATCCTCCTCGACCCGCAAGGCCACGGGCACTGGGAACAGCTCCCGCGGCACGGCCACCTCCAAAAGGTCACTTGCCGTCCGCGGCCGCAGCCGCTCCAGATTTGCCCTTCCCCTTCCCGTCGGAGGCGACCAACTTCTCCTCAACATCCTGTTATCACTCGCCAGCTTGTCGGCGCGGCTCTGCAGTCCCGCGGCGCTGTCACCAGCTCCACTGCCCGCGCCGCCACGCCGAGCTGTCGACCTCTCCTCACGCACCTTCCCCCTCCCTTTCAAGACACTCGCTTCCTTGTGCAGTTCATCGGCGACATAGCTCGACAGGGCTGGAGATATCATCAACCCACGAGTCTCCGACGTACCAAGGTAGATATGCTCATCCTCGACCAGCTCATCTCCTGCCGAGCCCATGCGATGCAGATAGCGGTCCCTGTACGTGCACTCAAACATGTTGCGCCTTCCTGCAGATCAACTCGAAGATAGCGAGCTCCGAAATATTCAATTGACCAAAACTGGATCCCGATCTGCAGTAACCTCAAACAGAACTCATGAAAATCATTTCCCGGGTCCGTCGAAGATAACCC